TTCACCTCAGTACATTTACATCTCGTTCTGCAATACCTGAAGCTAATGACAGTCTTTTCACACACCCTGAGGCAGTGCTCTGTGTATAAACAGGGACAGGTTTTTTCTTTCTACCTGCTGATGTTCACACCTCTTCAACAGAAAATTACCTACCTGAATGATTAAGAAGGCAATAATTGGTAAGTTGGATTGATACAGCTGATACCCAGAAATTACTGAGTGAATATTCATGGAAAAGTTAGAGCTTGATATCAGTTAAGTTTCAGTGTTTTACAACATGAAATATGTAACTGCAAAATCACAAGCAAGCCAGCCTCAACACTGCTAAGTCCAATCTAAGCATAAATGTGTTTTAAAGCAGTATATAGATAGGAGTATTACAAAAAGCATATATAAAAATGTTTGATTTTAAATAAAGGTCTTGAAAAGTAGATATTTCCTGCTATCGTGCATGGTAGCATACATTCAGAGACTTTGAAATGAAAGCTGTCATCTCTATTCACAGAAATATCTGCTTTTATTTTGCATCCAGACGTGCAATGGTGTTAACAAACATAAATATTACTTAATAAAATTCAACTTTGAAAAGAAGCTAGGAGTGGAACTAGAGCTGAAACTTACCATCTTTATTCAATTTTGTCCCAATTTCTGGAAGACTACAATAAACAACGTCTCCTAATGCTTCCTTAAAAGAAAAACAAATGCATCAAAACTTACAATAAAGAAACTGTATGTAGGAGTTATCTGACACAGTAACTCTAGGAGCAACGTAAACAAGTCACCTGCCTGTGTAAATGTAGATGTTATTTAAAAATTGTGCATTTTTCACTTTTTAAATACTTAACTTGAAAGAAAACCAAAACGTTAGGTTATCATGACCCAAATGCCAAATTAATTATTATCTATTATGATGTTAATAACCCTCAGGCTGAGTTGCAAAGCATGTACCTATAGATTTATTCAGGCAGAACAAGAAGAGCATCTGCTTATCTTCTCAGCGCCAGCCAGCACAGCACGTGTTGTGATGGACAAAGTTCCCAACAATTTCAGGGAATTATCCCTCTGGCACAAGGCACAGAAATGTCACTTGAAATCAAATGCAGCGATTCCTCTCCAGTGACAGCTCGAGAGCTGCAAGCATACAGCCTTACTTACTGACTGAATGAGGAGCCTTACCACCAGATCAGCTCAACTGGAACAGGCTCGTGCCTCTTCAGTGACAAAGTACCGTATTTCACAAAAGCCCACGGATCTGAGGGAGCAGTGGTGGTATTTACAGAAAGCAGATTACAGGAAATGCTGCTTGTCCTAACACTAATTCCACTTCATTGCTAACTTCCCATGCTAGAAGTTTCATGTGCAGTAAATCTCTGTCCTGAATTTGCCTGCGACTGCTCCAAATCACATGCCTGCACCGGAGCAAAACAAAAGTCCAAAGGGTCCCCCTACCTCCACTATTTTATACTGAGAAATATATACTGTGTTACACTTCTGTTTGGAATAGCTTTTTAGCCAGAGGAATTGCACCACATTCATGTTCAAGTGGAATCTGACCTGAGAAGTGCACGGCAGCCTCTTGCTACAGCCACACACTCCCAAGGCCTACAGAACTGTGGTAATAAATGCAGTTTTAAATTCAGCTGAACCATTAAGTTTCCATCACACTCAGCTCTCTCCAGGCTTGATCTAAACCGATTAAGAATCTATCAGAATGCTGAAACAGCATGCACTTTTCAAATAGTGCCAAGTCCAAAAATCTCATTCTGTGTGTATAGCATATGCAATTACAACAATAAAACAACAGCAGCTATCCAAAGAGCAAGGACAAGAGTATGGGTAAGTAAATATTGCAGACTTGGGTAGGAAAAGAGAGGGTTGATCAATACCTGTGCAAAATTGCTGATTCCTACTGTTCCAATGCCATTTTCAACTGATATCCATTCATGCTTGTCTGTGAATTTGCGGGCTACAATGAAACAAACTTGAAACTTCAGAAATAAGTGGCAAGTTGTTTGCTTAAATGCAATACATTGAAGTTACAAACCCTGCTGGTTTGCTTTGCTTTCCCCTGAGGTTAGGTGATTTGTTTCCCCACACCCCCCTTGGAAAATACTCCAAACAGCAAATACAATTTGCAGAAGCACTTTGTTCTGCTCAGGACACACTTAGGGACACAGCAGCAGCTCACTGTGGGGTCCTGCCTGACAGCCTTCCTGGTTCCTGTGCAATCATCCAGAGACCGATCAACCATGAGGGGAAAATGAATAGTTCTCATTCAAATGTAAAACACAAATCCAAAGCATACACGTTTACTTCACACACAGTAACAAGCTTTTCTATGATGCCTTCAGGTCTTTCCAAGCGTATTTAGTGCTTCTTTCCCAGGAATAACGAAGTTGCTGGCAGAAGGCCAGCATTAATAACACATTAAATAGTGTCAGCATTGCAGCATCTCATTCAACACATGAAACAAAGCCACCAGGTGAAGCTGCATCCTGTCTGCTCCAGTCAGCTGAGTCCCTTCCCTGCCCTGACATCTCCTCTACAGTCTACTACTTCTCTCATTTAATGTTATCATTGATATATGTAAAATCAGTATAGCTGAAATTAATAGGGCCATTCAAACTGTGGGCCAGGAAACTGTTACTCAAGAGAATTTGCTGTTAATACTATTAGAACAACACTCATTCTGAATAGTTTTAAGATGTGCGTATGGTAAGACTTAAATTTTTTCCACAGCAATCTTACAATTCTGCATATAGCGTAGGTCTGTAAGACTCAGGGCTGCTCATATTGCCTTTTCCTTGCAGCAGTTATTTTTATATTCGAAAGAAGAAATAGAAGCAGTTTTCTTCCTGACACACCACACCAAGAGCTTCCAGCCTGCTTTGTCCTCCTCCTCACGTGCAATTTTCCTCAGCAGTTCTTTGGGTTTTCTTCAGTTTTTAAATTTCTTTTCCATGTTCCCTTCTTGCACCCCTCCAATCACACAGGGGATGTTCCACAAGTTGAGGAAGAACTTAAACAGAGCTTCCTGGGAGGTAAGTGCCAAAGTAGTGCAGCTGGGCCCTCCTTTTGGGTCCCAAATCCTCTTCTTGGGCTCCCAGCACCCCCTAAAGAAATCCAACTTCCAGAAAGCCTTGTTTCTTAGGCTTGCATATGACAGAAAGCAGAAATCCTCACTTCAGGTCTGTTAAAATCCTCACGCTAAGTCAGTAACATTCTGAGACATTTAGTTACAGCGATCCATTTACGAGGGCTGAATGTATGGAAGAGGTAAAATGGTTTCTCTCTTATGGCAGCTCCAGTTCTACATTTACATTTATTGTGGCAGCACGATATACAGAAGCAGAGCACACGAAACAGACTGAGTAAAATGCTAATAACGCATTTTCCCACACAGCATCGCTCAAATAATAATAAAAAGACCACAGAATTTCATCTAGCGTTACTGACATCTACATAAATCTCTCAGGACGTTTTCTAATGAACAGAAGAAACCAAATCACTCTAGGTCAATGCGTTAACCCCCAGGTAATAGGGATTTCATTGGAAATGAGTAATGAACCATAAGAACAGAGAACAACGCAGAACCTTGAGCCCCCACTGAACATTAACGTTATTCACATCGCAGAGGAGCCAGCCAGCATCTTTCTGTGTTGGACAATAGTACTGTGTTTTAAAGGGCAAGATGACAGGGAAGAAAAAGACAAGAGATAAACAGAAATTTCACTGCTTTGTTAGAAATTGATAGGTTCCTAGCAGTTCTGAAATGCACGTATGCTTCTCATAGGATATTTTTCACAAAGAAAAAGGTTAAAATGAGAAATTCTAACCATGTGGCAAAACCCACGTAAATAAAGTCCAGGTCAAATGAGAAAGAGTTAATAAGTAATCTCAAAATTTGGACTTTGAGCTTACGTGACTGGCACACGAAAGAAATCAAAATAGATGAATACATGCATCATATATGAATATGATCATATATATTCGTAAATAACACCAGGGCACAGCAAATCTCTTCTGCGAGCGTTCATTGCCACGAGAGCATCTCCCCGTACTCCAGCTTCATTCATTGCAGCACGGCTTCGGCTCCAGCTTACGGAGCACGTCCTAAATTCAGACCTGCCCCTATTTCTGAGACACCTGCCGCACAGGTGCACGAACGCAGCACGGAAGCGCACGGCACGCACACAGCTTCACACCTTCACAGCTTCACACCTCAGCGGCCGCACAGAGCGATCCCGGCTTCCCTGCCGGCAGGGCTCAGCTCTGCCGCCCGCTGAGGCATCGCTCCTCTTTGTGCGCTGAATCAGGAGCGCACCGCCGGCTCAGCGCGGCGCGGCGCCGCTGCTCTCCAGCCATCTTGAGGCACCCTGCGGGCAGCTCTGCCCTTCCCGCCCGCACGAGGCGGCTAAAGCACAGCAAAGTCCTCAACACAAAGCGCTCCCGTGCACGGTGTCCTTCCGGGCCCGCTACTTAAACGCGCCGTGCCCGGCACGGAGGAGCCCGGCAGACCTCACGCCCCGCCGCAGAGCTCGGCGGTGCCGCGCATCAGCGCGCCCCGGGCGTCCAGCGGCAGCCCGCAGGATTCGCCCACCTCCTCGCAGGGCGCCGAGCTGCGCTGCGCGAGGACGGGCGGCACCGCCCCGCGGCCGCCGGGCCCGCAGCGGCATTCCCGCACTCACCGGACAGCAGCAGCGAGCCGGTGCCCAGCCTCCGCGCCGCGGGGACCTGCGGCCGTAGCGAGAGGCGCGAGCAGCGCGGCGCCAGGGCCGGCCCGAGCCGCCGCAACGCCAACCACGCCATCTTTGCCGGCGGCCTCGGGCGGGGCGGCGCCGCGCAGAGCTCCCGCCTCACGGCGGAGGCGCCATTGGAGCCCGGCGGCGGGCGGGGCCGCCATGTCGGCGCGGCGCGGCGCGGGGAGTGGGGCCGGGTGGAGCTCCGCGTGCGCCCTGCTGCCGGCCCTGCGCCGCGGCAGATAACGGCTCGGGGCCAGCGGCACGGCCGGCTGCACCGCCGTCTTCAGGGGTGGTCGCTTGGCTGAAAGCGAGCGCCGTGAGCCGAGCGACGCGACGCGCGCTCGGTGTCGATTAACTACAGGTGCCAACCCGCAGGCGGTGCACATGGGATGCTTTATTTCACGTTTCGTGCGAGTCTTTAGCTACAAAGCATCAGGCTGCAAGAGTTTGTTGAAGGCGACGTACAGCGTTCTAGTCAGAAGCGCAACGGCCGAGTCTGCCCGTCGCAGCCGGCAGTTAAAAAGCGCGATCTTGTGCACGCAAACAAAGCAGCTTTTCGTTATGGTTGTCCGCTAATTGCTGGCGGGGTGCTTTGGCTGATCGTTACAGCCCGTCTTCTCTTCCTGCTTACATTTAATCCCAAAGAAACCGAAGAGTTTCATGAGCATTAAGTCCACAATTTCCTCCTCTTCTGAAGCCTGAAATAAGGACAAGGGGTCAGTTAGCAGGCGGGCAGGCCAGGAGCAGACGCAGCTCCTGCTGGAGGTAGAGTTGCAGGAGGAGAGGCGTAATCCGTGCCACATGGATCAACTCTTACTCTAGGCAGAGCTGAACACCATGCAGACACATTCACCAAACAGTGCCAGGTAGCCTCAGGGTGTGCGCGCTACTGAAGAAATATTGGCTCTGTCAAAGGCTGTGAAAATGTTGCTACTGGAGCCCGGAGTTCACCAGCTGACTGCCGTGCAGGTCATAGGATCACAGAATCATTAAATCAGAGAACCCACTAAGATCATTAAGTCCAACCCCAACCCACCCCTGCCTGCCCACTGCCCACATCCCTCAGTGCCACATCCCCACGGTTCTTTAACACCTCCAGGGATGCTGACTCCCCCACCTCCCTGGGCAGCTGTGCCGCTGCGTCACCACTCCTGAGAAGAAATGTTTCCTAATACCCAACCTGGATTTCACACAATGCTATCGACACCTGAACAGATCAGGCACTTGGTGACATTGTTAAAAGGAGCTGTAAAGTCCTCATCAATCCTGTAGCCATTTTGGTACTGATTCCAATGGAGATGGGGCTCTGGATTCAGTATGTGAATGCCAGGCTACAGATTTTAAAGTCTGAACAGAGGCTCGTCTGAACAGGAATGGACAGTGTAATTCTGGAAAATCTGAAGCATGCCTTATGAGTAAATGTTGTCTTCTTAAAAGTAGGACCTAGTTTACATAGGTTTCATCAGGTGGTGGGATACGTATGCCATAAGTAAGCTCTGCACAACAAATGTTAAAGAACAGCAGGAGAGCTGAGATGAACACACCTGGTAGTGCTTCTGCTCCTCACTGAAAGCAACCAGAATCACTGAAATGAAGAGATTCAGCACCACAAACGTCATGAAAATGATGCAGGATCCAATCAAGAAGGAACCTAAAATCGGATTGTAGTCCAAGATCTGTAGGATTAATAAGGTAAGACATGACATTCTGATTTTTTAAAAAGAGCATATGTACAAGCAGCTATCACACAGTTAGGAGTTTGTCCCTTTGAAAAGCCTTGTGGGTAATAAATTATGCTATAGTTATATATCATATGTATATAAATAAATTTTCTCCTTTTACTTTAGGGCTTTGATACAATATTGTACAAAGGAGATGAAATATTTCATACATACGAAATGTTAATATGGGCAATCTCTGTGTTTTGTTGTTATTTTAAGTGTTTGCATTTGAATGTACTGGTATGGAGATTTGAGGTGAAAGCTGACAAACCTGGAGATTTGTTTAGCCACATAAGTAACAGCTGCAGCTCGGTCAAGTCCCAGCTTTCAAAGCAGAAATAAAATCACTGCGTGCTTTTATTTAAAAGTGTCATTACACAGAAGTCCAGTCAGGCTGTCAGTATCAAGTAAGGGCTGTGTAGGAATTAAAAAACATCGGAGTATGCTTTTGGGATTAGCTACTTGAATGGATGTAGAGTTGAAAAACGTTATGCCTAGTTACTGATCTTACCCTGCTGGATTCATGGGCTGAAACATCCACTAGAGAGTCATTCCAAGGATACTGCGATATTTGAAAGAATCCAATGAAAAAGTCAGTAATAACAAATTAAATGTAATGAAGATCCCTTGTGGAAGGTGTTGTCTTTCTTGAGAAGTGATAGGAGCGTGTTCAGAGTAAATGCTGGGACATCACTCATGTTTCTCTGTAGTGTTTTAAGGAAAACTGCTCAAAACTTTATCTGTAGTCAATAAGTAACATATCTAGTTAAAATGTAAGCAGCTTTCTCAATGAAATGTTCCTTATGAATCTACCAATGTTGAGGGTGGGATGGGAGATATATTTCACTGCTTTTTTTATTGCTTGAACGAGTAATGAGGGCTGCTTTAGGAGGCTGTGGCTCTTGCAAACTGCGATTCATGTCTAGCACTAACCAAGAGTCCTTCTATTTGCTGATTCAAAGCATATATGAAAGCTGAGGTGTGAATTACACTGTGATCAAAATCAAGAGGGAATACCTCCTCGTAGTTGAAGATTCCCAGCTGAAGACTGACCATGGTCTCTGCTGAATCAGAGAGAGTTTTGTAAGAGCAGAGCTTCCAGCCAAATATCAAGTTTGTCTGCAAAGGAAAGAAGAATATCTTGCATAATAATCAGAGTCCTTGCTGCAAATCAGCTGATGACTGATAATTCAGGAAAGCTCTTCCAGTCTGTCATCAGCCATGAAGCTTTTTTGTCTTTTTGCTCTATTGGATTCCATTGTTTTTTTTGTCTATTTGTTTGTTTGCTTTATCTACAGAGGTGTGCATGAGCTGTAAGACATTTTATCCTGGATTTAAGGAATCATAGAATTATTTATGTTGGAAAAAAACCTTTAAAAAAGATGAATAATTATTTAATCTCATTAGAATGAAAATAATATTTTATTTGCATGATGAGTTTTACTATAATAGGCATAAAAATAATTATTTCCCACCCAAAAAGAAGACAAACAGAAAATTATACTTTTTGCACTCTTCTCAGTTTGAGCTTTACCCAAAAAGTGAATTTCCCTGCACTTTGCTGTGTACTTTACACCTGTTACACACAGAAAATCCTTTTTTGTTTGTTTTTTTGTTGTCTCCATCTTTGATTTTTGTACTGAATTTCAGAATTTCAGTTTGCAAAGAAAGAAGCAGGTGGCTATTTTAACTGCCTTCACATATATGGAAGAATTAGAATCCAGTCTTCTAACCTAAGGTTTAGACAGGCAGCTTTATTCAGTTCTACCTTTCAAAGCCACGTTGCTTTCCCCATTCAGAAACAATTCATTTAACCTGGCCGTACGTCAATGCAGACTGAAGACAAGAGAAACCACAGTCATACTCACAGCAATGGAGTAGGCGAGGAACATGATTGCAATAACAGTGATGAATCCAGAGATATCACCCCATGCTCTCCTTAGAGTGGAGGTGATCATGTGTAACTTAGGGTTGAGCCTCAGTAGATGCCACAGTTTCACTGTGGAGAGGAGCACGAGGAAAGCAATCAGGTAGCCAAGAACTGCATCGGCTCTTGCTGTTTCATTAAAGCTTACAGAGCTGTTAGGAACAAAGAAAAGATGTATTAGACCATCACACTGGGAATGCATATATTTTGGAAAAGCCAGTCACTCTGAACTTGTTTTCAGTGGAGAGCTAACTTGAGTTTTTGCTTGGATGTTTCTGTCTCTGCTCCCTGCTGTGTGCACATGAAAAGTTCAGCTGTACATGACTGTGCTTTGTTTCCCTAAATTATCCTGTGATTCTATGAGCTTGCTCTTCTGTGGCCATTTTCTAGCAGATGCCATTATTTTCCATTCTGTGTTAACTATTGCTGTCCTCTACACTATGTTTCTTGATGGTAAAGGATAAAGCAGATGATTTACTAGCTTGGATGTCCTATAGCAGCCAGGGAACTGGGAGCTCAGTACTTCCTGGGGTTATTGCTTACTCCTCTTTGTGTTCCTGGTAGTAGCTGATGTCTCGGCTCCCAAGAATTGTCCTCTTCACAAACACTGACAGGGCACTCCAGCTAATCAATATAATGGCCACCTCCAGGAGATTCCACTTGCTGTGGAAATATCTCCATTTCAGAGTCTTCATCAGTTTTCCCTGTGGAAACAGAAGCCTTACTTTTTCAGTCCAACACCACATCATACAGTAAACTTCTCAAGATGAGGTCTCTGCCCTCCACAATAAAGCAGACTTCTGCACATCATAATTTCTCATCATCTTTGACATTCCTGCCAAACAAAATGTCACCTTCCTATTATTTAATGAAGATACACGATCTGATTTCAGCCTTCCCCTGCTGCATGTCAACAGCAGCACTACTGAAATCAAGTACTGTGCTAAAGCTTTCACAAATGAAATGAAATGGAAGACAGCAGGATTTTCCAGTGTATCTCACCTGTACGATCATGTAGTAGACGATAAAGAGGAAATAAATAACTTCTGCAGCAACAACAAAAATGTGAAGGCTGTTGGTGTATGGGTAGAGCCGGACACTCTGCAGCACTGCACTTGTGAAGAAGGCCCCTGGAAAATAACAGTGGCAACTCAGTGCTGTAATAATTACATCCTTCTGTTTTCATTCAAAAATTTAGATCATTAATAAGACCTCCATAGGCACATTCACATCAATGTCAGTCTGAATTCAGTTATCATACTGAGATTTAAGCCTGACTGTAGGAGCAGCCCTGTAAACGTTCTTTGAAAGTTTCTTCAAATAGTAATTTTGGACAGTCAGTGGCTTTTGGGATGCTGATGCCCTTCTGTGTGGCAGTATGATATTAATCCCAGCAGGACTGAATTTGGGTTAGACTACAGATGCTAAACTGAAACAGAAAGGACTGGAGATATAAATCTGAATCTCATTCTGAAAAGAAAAGGAGCCCAATTTTGTGATTTGATATGGACATAGGTTCTCACCTAAGGCACTGGTTTCAAACATCAGGTTTACAATGCAGAACAGGTTCACATTGGCATTGTAGACTGTAAATTCAACAAACACTGCTCTTGTGAAGGTGTCTAGCCAAACGTTGTTGAAAAGGTACTGGAGAATTCTGCCAAAAAACGTATAGCCAGTGAGATAACGTGTACAGTATCATACACTGTGTCACATGAAGGAAAGAGGTGCATCATTTCATAGAGAAGGAGCACACCCAAGGTAAGATGTTTACTATTATTTTAGCATTATGTATTTCTGCAGCTATGTAAATATGAAATCCACACATGCAATTAGGAAAAACAGGTTATAATTTTTGATCTGGTTGCTATCTAAAATGGAGAAAGATCATAAGAATATAAAGTACACTGAAATCATTGCAGTAATATCTTCGGTGTTCAGTGTAATCCACAGTAGCAAAATTCAGAATGCAATCTGAGATGAATCCTAAATAGAGCAGAGAAAAGGGCACCATTGTCATTACAGTACTTTCACTAATATTTTACCAGAATGCAAGCTTTACCTGGAGGCATTCTGAGGATCAGTTCCCAGGTGAATCACGTATCCCCCTCCCCCATAGATGGCCAGTTTGCCCCAGACAGGCTGCCCTCTCAATTTGGTCTGGTTCTGATAAAGCCAGGCTGAGCTCAAGACTGAGGAGTTATCAAAGACCGAAGTGTTCCAGTGTTCTCCATAGTCTGATGTGTCTTCTGTTTGTAGGGAGTATGGAGCATGGCATTCCTGAATCACACGCTGGAGGGTGGGTGAAACAGGGCAGGTGTCTCCTTTCACTCTCACTTGGCGAATTCGAGCGCTGCCCACCAGCTTGGAGTTCCCATCTGTAATGAACCCTAAATGGAAAAGACAGAACTATGATCAATATTTCTTCTTTTCATTTATCATTCTGATAATGCATGAATATTTTCCTATAGATTAAAAAAACAAACAAACAAACAAACAAAAACCAACAATACTGCAAGCAAAATAGTGCTTGCATTGATTTAAACTGAATTATTGGAAAACATCCGTAGACAACAGTTTAGTATCGTTACCTGTCTGTATTTTATAGAGAAGGAAACAGAGGTCTGCAGGAGAAGAGCCCTGCCTGGAGCAGAGCAGCCATGTGCAGTGTTCACACTTGATCACAGCTGGTTAGTGCCATGTCCAAGAGTCAACCGTGCCATTGTATGCTCATAGGTACCCTAAAATGTGAGCTTGAACGTGGCTCGTATTTGTTAATGGGTGTGGCCAATAGAAACATAGTGATGTTGTGTAATTATCCTTCACAGTGACCTAAGACAGAGTGCAGAGCTCTCCTGATGGAAAGCTTTATAGTGCCATCTATCTGCCATTCTGCTTTTTTTCTTAGTGATGGAAAGGAGCTTAATTGAAACTGAGACACGTACCTGGAATGGGTAATGTAAAATGTGAAAATTCAAAAACTCAGTGCAAAACTCGACTTCTGTATTAAAGATAATGAAAATGTCAGGCCAGGTGGTACTTGGGGTTGGGATGTGGGGCTTTTGTTATCCACTATTATTCAGTTTATGAAAATTCACATTAGTCTTACACACTCACAGTGTCTTCCTCCAGTCAAATATGCATGTACAAGTTGGAAATAAGTATAAAAGATAACGTTTCAGAATCTGGCAAGCTGAAGTGAATCAAGATGATATCAAAAATGTCTCTGCACCTTTATATGATCCATAAAGATTTTTGACTAAGGTAGTTTTTGCCCATGTGAAAAAATCCTCATAACTGTAGACATCATGGAATCCTTCTGTAAAACTGCTCTCAATATGCTTGTTTAAGTAATAGGAATTGGGATCTCTTTGCCCATAGGCAACCAGTAATAGCATCCATAAAAACCCCAGATAGGCTGGAAAAAAAAACCACAAGAAGAGTCAGTACACGTGATCTCAGAATTAGCACTGCTGTTCAAAATAGATTGTGTGAATGATTACTGCTGTCATCACTTATTGGGCTAAGGAGATGCTTTGCAAGAATCTGGCTGACTAGTGCTAATGAATTTACACAAGTTATGTCAAAGTGCTGCAGTTTAAGCATATCACATCTGAAATACAAGTAGGAATCTGGGAAGTGATTGAGAAAATAAGCATAGAGGCTGGCTGAACATTAGCAATAATGACAGCTCTAAACAGAACGAGTAGCTTAATTTTGTGTTTAATGTTTTCACTGATGTAAAAGTACTGATGAATACTGATGAATAAAACAAGATAAACTACATATGAGTAATACCCAGGATTTCTCTGATTAGGGCAAATGCCTTCTGCTCCTTCATGCAACTGATTTTCATTTTCTCGACGTCAGCTGCAGGAGGTGGCTGGTAAATATTGCTTCTGCTGTCCCGTCGGGCTCCAAGGAGGGGATTTGAGTCGCCTGTGGGTGAGAGCAGTAATACCTGATGATCAATAGATCATTTGTATCCTGCTTTTCACTTTGGCCATTGTAAGGAAATACTTTTACTTAATGCTTTCCTTTAGGAATTCAGGTGATGTCACTTAAAGAAGCAGTATGGTTAAGGCAGCATTGGGGAATGATTGAGGTCCTGAGCAGCATGTCAGGTTTAGATACAGGTCTCTTTCTCTGCCCATTCAGCTGTATAAAGGTAGCCAGTGAAGTCCTCACTATGAATCACATATTGGTGCATAAAGCATTTAAAAATCTTAGAGGACGTTTCATTTTTTTAGTAATCTCTCACTTTACAGATAGTTACCTGGTGCAGGTAAAGGTCCATCAATGGCAGTGTTTTCTTCATCCTCATGTTCCACCTTCTTCAGAACCAGAGCAAAAAAAGCAGCAAATCCCAGCACCTGCAAGAATTAGCTGTAGACTCACAGCATGTCCATTAATATACAGAAGCTCAGAGTTTGGCACACACCACTTTGGATACAGCTACTGCAGAACAACAACTGTCCTTTGGCTTTGTGGAACTCGTGCAGCTGAAGCTTATAAACAGTGCACAAACCCTAACTCAGCTGCTTTTGTTGTATGACATATCTGCTTTGGTCACCTCGTCAACTATTAAACTACCAAAATGAGAGATGAAACTAATGTAATGCCAACAAATGACAGCAGAACTCTGTAATACATGTTAGCTTTTGTTTTAAGGGCAACAATTTCAATTTCACATGTTAAATCCTGTGGTTCTTTAAAAGGTACTATTTTCCTGTAATGGTAGCAGAACGAGTTCATATTGGCCAGTGGTTCCATTTCTGAGGATCTCACCTTTAAGGGCTGTGTGATGAAAAGACTTTCAAAGAAGGAGATGGCCATGGAGATCAGCCATTTGATGGAGTTCTCCTTACCATAATGCAGCCCATAGAGCATAGTGAAGAACCCAGATACACCACTGGTGGCTGCAACAAGGAACCAAGCAATGAACACAAACCACCAGGGCAGCCCTTTTGAAGAAGAACTTTTCTTTCCATCACCAGAGAAGCTTGGAGTAAGTGACCACCTTCAGAATCAACCAGAAGAGAAAAAATCATTCAGCACTGGAATAGAAACCAAAATCACATTCTTCAGGTTCTGTGACTACAGGCAACATTTTATGATTTAAATTCTTTTAACTAATTTTTTCTTTTAGCTAATGTAACCACACGGAATATATAGATGGCAAAAAGTACAGCAGGCAAAAATATGAGAAAGTGTGCAGACACCAGCAAAAAGAAGGAGAAATACGATGATGGTCTTACGTGCTTCTCAGTTCATGCATTATTGAAACTCCAGTAGAAATGTTGACCAAAAAAAGCCAACCATGAATGCCTTTTAGCTGCTGGATACATCTCATGATCACCACAGAGGTCAAAGAGATAATTAGTGGTATTGTTTTCAATTCTTCCTACTTAATTATCAGGTTTCCCAGAAATATATATTTTTTTTCTGCTTATTCATTTTATTTTCCCCATGCAATATTAGAGACCAGGGAGACTTCCAAAGCTCAATGATTATCTTCAGCACTTTACAGCCATGTAGTACTGCACTCAGTTTTGGAAGCAAAAATGACAGAGAGTGAGGATCTGTCATTACTGCTTTTGTGTGTAGTTCACTGCATTGAAATTTCTTTGTTGCTCCTTCAATAGAATAATAGTAAGGCATGTTTCTACAGCTATTATAATGATTATCTACAACATATTAAGTAGTAATTATTTTCAAGTCACCGCTTTTGAATTAATGACCTGAAATTACTTACACCGAAAATGGAATGAGAATTAGGTTACCTCTCACTGATGGATGCTGACGTGCAAATCTGGTTCTGCAGGAGGTTCTTCATGTGCTGAACCTGCCGAACTGCTTGAGTATAACTCTGAGGCATCTGGAATTTATGTGGCCCCAGTAATTCGAGCTCCATCTCTACCTGCTGGAGTTGCATGTACAAGCAACGGTTGTAATCGCTGCACTTCAGTCGCTCACACATTCCCTTTTCAGGAGTTGGGCTTCTTGTTTTTTCTGCAGGAAAAGAATTTAGCTTTGAAGTCTGCATCTTCAAATGCTCATGGAAAAGACAAAAAGAAGTAGGTCTTCATGAAATCAGTGGGATTGTTCGCTCATATATTATTAATTGAAATTGAATCAATGCCTAATTAAAGTTGGACTGAAAAGAACAGCAGCACAAGGACAAGAAGAAAATAAATGGGACAAAAAACTGATATTTGTGGGTCTTGATAATATATAGATAATAATTAGATACTGATAAGGCTATTAGCTAACATTTCATTCTACAGCAAAGGAAATAGAGATTTCAGTGTCTTTACGTGGGTGGTAGATGGTGTGCAGTGAAAGGAGAAGGCAATGGGCACAAACTGAAACTCAGGAAATTCCATCTCAATACAAGAATAACTTTTCTATTGCAAGAGCGATTGGACACCATGGAGGAGTTGCTCTGAGAAGCTATGGATTTTCCTTCCTTCCAAAGACTCAACATTCGATTGGATGCAATCTTGGGCAATCTGTTGACTCCGCTGGAGGAACCCTTCCAACCTCAACTATTCTGTGATTCTGTAATTGCCTTTGAGTCAGAATGTAGAAGCTTGGGTCATCCCATACAGTGTCCCCATCAATTTCACTACAAAGGCTTCAGTAGGCATGTCACATTAAGCTGTTTACCTTGTATATCCATAGGACCTAGTGTGACAGTTACAGAGTCATCCTTCTTTTTGTTTTCATCATAAAACTCTTGCCCAGCTCTATTCTGCTGGCAAATGATATCTTCAACCAATGCCAAAAGCATGTTGATGTTGGTTGATTTTCCGAGATCTGATACTGAGGTCAGTGATGGAGCCTTCAGGGCTTTAAAGAGCGAGTTAGCAATTCTTCTTATGTCCTAGAAAAGACAGCAGCAATATGACAGTGACTCAGACTGCAGTGACTTAAGCTGATGTGGTCAGGAGGTGCTGCTGGCTGGGAGCTGCTTGTATTGCTAAAATGGGTAAGTATGGCACATCCTATAGGGCTGGGTATAACAGCTGGATATGACAGCTAGATTTCAATGAGTTCAGCAATTCAGTTTTCAAAATTCAGTAACTGTGGGCCTGAGCTGGGGAAGACAGGGTCTATGATACCTTTTCTCTTCACTGTCTTGCTTGATGTTTGCATTTAATCCAGTGAACACAGTGATTTTAATCACTGTGCAAGGGGATGAAATGTACATAGGCTAATCTTGCTGAAGTTGAGGATTCCTACATGTGGAATATACTATGAAAGTGGATAACCCTTTGTTCATCCCATGGCAGTATGGATGAGTAACTGAGTGTTTTGCACCAAAGCACATTTGGCTCATCATGCCAGACAATTTGAAAGTCTTCTGACAGAGATTTCTGCTGTTAAATTGGAGGCGTCGAGTAGTGCATGACAGCAGAGGGCAGTGCAGGACCCAGCGGGAAGCAACCACAGGCACTTACCTTTGTTACAGCCTCTGGAGTGAGCGAGATGGCTGGGGTGACCGGTGGGGCAGGAGGTAGGCTTGGGGACACTCGGCCATTCTTTCCTGGCTTCTTTTCTGTGCCCTGCATGGCTGGCCGGGGTCGTGTGTTCCTGAAAATCTGCACAATGAGCAGGTTGATGGGGAACATGAGGAGGGAGCTTTCAAAGCCGATCATCACTTCCTGCCACGTGAACTCAATCTGACCTGTCAAGATCAAACAGGGCAAAGGAATAAAAATAACCTCAGGAACCATCAGATTTGTCTCGTGAAAAAGCCCATTTGTTCAACTGTTCCTCTTCTAGATTCTGCTGTCTCTCTATTTTCCTGTGCAAGTAATGAAAACAATTGTTACCCAAATCCATTTTCTGCTCAGCTGGATCCTTTGGCACTCCCCAAAACATGATGCTGGTCAGCATGGTGCAGAGCAGCAGTGAGAAGCAGCATGACACGCGCTGGGCTCGTGTGAAGGAGCTTCGTGGGGAGCGGCTGAAAACTGAGTACCAAATGTGCCCATCCTGGAAACCCTTGGAGGTCTTCATGAAAAACAGGTTGCTGGGAAGGAAGAGGGGGAAATTAAATGAATGCTTAGGAAGGAGAGGAAAGAATAAAGCTGTATTTCTGGGTCCTGGCCTGTTCGTGCTAGGCACTGTCAGAAGATATATCAACTATGAAAAAAAAAATCAAATATCATGGCGTGATTTACATAGAATGGTCATAGCTTCTTATGTCCTTTCCTTCTGGCCACACCATGGTGGTAAAGATAATCACGAGTAGTTTCTATGTACATTTTTAGGGAAATTACACTGAAGACAAGATGCTTGGGTTTCCACGTCTCATTAAAGTACTCTTTAACACCAGTATTTCCAGTCTGATGTTATAGTCAGGCATTGTTGATCATCCTTCTTCTTCTCCTCGTTCAGAGCCCTTTCAGAGCAATGGAAACACCTCACTGTTTTCTTTTTGTCTAGAAAGTTGATGTTTGCATACTCGCTTCTCTAGACTGATTGTTAATAGGAGCAAAAAAGCATAAAACAGAAGGTACCTGAATTGCTTCATGTCTTGCTCTGTAGCTACTGGGAACACTTTATCTAGGACACATTCTCCAATATCAACTGCTAGCCAGGAATTACAGAGGAAGTACCATTTCTGGTCCCACGCAAGGTCATGTACCAATACTCGATTCACATACCTGGTGGGAAAACATACAGGGCACAGTCATGTGTAACTGGGTGGTATGAAACTCAGGATTCAACAGAACGACTTCTGACTTCTTTGGCTGCGCCCGAACGGTGGGGCACAGAGCACAGATCAGAATTCCCTAAAATAATGTTCTTCTGAGTACTTAGGTTGGTGACCTGATCCAGAGCATGTTACAGCTCCCATCTGATCACTGTGCCTTCGTTTCATGCAATATTTTCTATAGTATGTTTGATGAAAGTCTTGCACTAACTCAGAATCAACTTGTAATACGGGTATGAACTGCATATGGGAAGTATTCCTTGTCCTGCAGTTTAGACTATAATATGATCTATTCATCTGGGGAAAAAAAATAAAGGTGAAACTAGCCCTTACTTTCTAGAACTGTAGAAAGAATAATTTCAAGTGCTAGGAAAGGAAAGCAGTTGTCATTATAAACATATTTTTGAATCTTTATTATTTCTTGTATGCACTTACCAGGATGGATTGTCCCCTGAATTATCATGCCACAGTCGAATACTCTGCAATTCCCCAAGAGGAAAGAGAGTACAGAGTAGGAAAACATCCACTCCTCCACGTTCAAACACTGGTGTGTCAGGATCAGTTAGATGATGTGGCTCACTCTCTCCTTCTAGTCCATAGAGAGTGAGTGTCACCTGCAGAGTAAGATAGCAAAAAGAAGGATCGCTCATCTCAGAATCCTGTATGTGCTTATTCCTCTGACATACTCTGCCCACTTTCTAGCTTAGGAGTTGCATTTGAGCCGTGCTGTTCCATAGCCTTGGGTGCTCCTTTATTGCTCCAGATCTCTAAATGAGTGCAAAGCTCTTTTACTACACAGTACAGCTGATACCTTGGAGGTTGTGGCTGCCCCACGTCGGTGTCCTGTGAAAACTGTCACAAGATAACGATACTGAGCAAAGGGGTCATTGTCTTCCAGCACTGTGATTTTTGCCTGCAGAGTGACAAGATACAAAGAGATCATTAGCAGCTCTGTAAGTACAGATACCTTAAAGCTGTGGGTAGGAACATATCATCTTATGAACAGTGTGAATGGAAGGGATTAGGGTTAGATGAAGACTTCTGTTAAAACAGGACAGTCAAAAAGGCAATTGGCCTAAATACTTCCAGTCTTTATTAATGAAAGACTTACTTTGGCATCATCCTGGATGTCTTTCCTTCGGGCCCAAATAACTACAAGCACATATATCAGAAAGATACATCCTACTGTGGTCACCACGACGGGGTTGTCTACAAATGTACCAAATAGCTGTGCAGTTCTACTAATATCAACAGCATTAGGTATGACAAAGAAGGAGCTCCCAAAGAAGGTCAGATGGTTGCAGAGACACTGTGTGCTTCTAGAATTTGTTTTTGGTCCTACCTGAAAACCAGAAAAAAAACTCTGGATAGAACAGTTTGCTTCAAAGTATTGGATAACTTACCATGCAGATGAAGACAGTGCTGAGAATGGTGAGTTAGTATAGAGAACTGCTTTACGGGAACAAATCGTTATTGGGTATATTAATTCTGATGTCCAGCCAGAAAAAGGCATTTATAATATGATACAAACTTGTCTGAACAGCTCAGTTTCTCTTTATGTGGGAGTGCATCCCAAGAAATGTAATGGGAATGCAATTTGAAATTTAGTCATAGTGGATTAAATTTCACTTCTTCATTTTACTAAAACATCTGAGAATTATGTTATTTGGTGGTATGAATTCAATGGGGATCACAAGAGCTGGCTTTGGCATATATAATATAAAGATATCTTTATTTCTCTCTACTTACTTGACATCCATAGCTGTTCCAGTTCCCCTGCTGCTCATCCCAAAATACACAGCGGGATGCAAAGCAAGTGACAGCTATAGCTAGCCCATCATAGACAGTGGAATCCATTCCCATGTCTTGTGAAACCATCAAATAGTAAGTTCCCTCTCCAAAAATGAGTTCTTCAGGGCTAAGAACCCAGGTATTTGTTTCACCTCGAACAAAAATATTTATTTTCAATGTATATGTGAAAATGTGTATTTTGACTACAGCTATATTGCATATTATAAATAAACTGAACAAAATAAAAGAAGCAGGTACCAAATAATCCTTAGCAACTCGTTGTTCAAAGCATCCCACTCTTTCTCCTGAAGCATGATAAATTGAAACTCCTTTGAGAAGTTTCTTTCCAATTAGATATCAATCTCATTCTGCAAATTTGGGGTCATAATGACCCTGTAAATTTGTCAGTGAGCACTCCAAGATATCCATACCGGATGCCCTTAACTTCCCAGTAGCAAACATGTATAAGGCTAAGTCTTTTGGCTACATAAGCCCAGAATGCAAAAGTTAACTCATCACTAACATGCTGTCTTACCTCCAGTAGTTTTCTTATAGAACAGATGACTTTTCATGTCATAGTTAGTTTCATTTGGGCGATAACCATATCCTAAGTAGAGTATTAGCGGAATGTCTTGTTCACATTCCAGCTGAATCACTATTGAGGTGTTTTCTGAGGTGATGTTTACTTGGAAAATGCTAAAATTGCTCAGGTTCAACTGAATCCTATCTTCCTGGGGTGCAGAATGCCTTGGTAATATTATCTGGTTTTAAACAGAAAGACAAATACAAATACAGAAGAGCATTTTACTTATCTGTAAGCACTATAAGTGTCTATAGGTACACCCACACACTAAATAATCTTTTCCATAAGTATGGCTGTCAAAAATATTTTCGTTGAAATTGTTTTCTTGATACTGCCAGATAACTTCTGAAAAGTCCTTTTCCAACCTGTATAGATTCATCACAAAATCTGTGATCATCAGTGCATTTTTTAACGAAAAGCTGAGATTATTACTGAAATATTGGTCACATGAAGTACATAAATGTATTCTCTAGATGGCAGTTTATAAATGGGCTAGGAATCCCAACCATAAGTAATATGAGCATGCAGTTGTTGGGTATTGAATCAGACATTACATTGTGTTTCAAGGTCACTGTAATCTGGAATAGTTTTCCCCAACCGTTACCATTGTCACAACCATTTAAATGAATATCATCTCATTTCTAAGAAATATTTGCCATTTTCTTCTTCATATCACAAAAATAACTCCATCACAAATGCAGACACCCATTATATGTTGAAATGAATACAGTACCACCATTTGTAGTCAAATAAGACAGTAATATACATGACAGCTTGTAAACAGAAGGAAGAAAGAAGAGGGATAGAAAATAGTGAGTTTACCTCAATGTTTTCTTTAAGATTGCTGACTGGTATGATCAAGCCATCCAGACCAGTAAGACTTAGACCTCCCACTGTTCCACTGATGTCAAAACTGGTGTCACTGGAGAAAAAGGGATTCATGGCAAAGCTCACCATCTGTTAGCAAGACATTAGTAATAATCTCTGAGTTATTGTTAATATTTCACTATTTTAAAAATTAAATTGATTAATAGACCAAATAAATTTGCTGACCTCAGACTCAAAAACAGAACTCAAAAGAAGACCAAGTCCAGTTTTAAATATATGCCTAATTTCTGTGGTAGGCCACACAACCCTGGAAGATGATTTTGATTCTGAAATGTTGTATGTATGCAACAATGTGAGGTTCTATTCACTGGAACTGTTTTTTCTTTCAGATATCAGATATCAAAATGCAATTGCACAGGCCTTTTTGAAAGAAACTCCATCAAACCTGTGTCACTCCTCTTGGAATTAGAAACAAAAAATCTGTTTTTACTGTGATAGCAATGCATGGAATTGTGTGTCAGATTCATTATTTCAATGAGAGGATTCAGAAGCCTCTCCTAACGCTCAGGTGGATATATTGCTGTTGTTATGAAGAGGTTCTGGTCACTTTTTGGCAGAACTGGAAAAGACACAATGAAAAAAAAATGTTTTCCAGATATTGTAGGAGTTTCCTGAGAGTGTGAAATTAATCTGAGAACCCTTTGAAAATTTCTTACAAAAATATCACAGTAATATGCAATCCATTGCTCTGAGGGTTAAAAACAAAATCTCCTAACTTGGATCACAGTTATGTGCTATGATCAGGACATTTGCAGACCTTCTGTCTCCTGCAGGATCTGAGTGCCTCAGAATCATTTGCTTCTAGCTGGGATGAAAGAGGTCTGCTGCCTATTAGTTTGAATGTTGATAGGGACTCTGAGCTGTTATGTACCCCTCGGAGCATTACATGTAAACAAACAGCAACTAAGTTTGTAGTATTGATTCCATCACCTTCTCTAACCATGCAAGTTTAAAGCAAGAGTGTATGTGAGCTGAGGGGGTGGGAAATTTAAGTTTGCTCAGCCAGCTTCATGCAATTAAGATAAGTGAAGGTTTCTTTGACCAAAAATGACTGGAGGGATGACTTGTGTGCTTGCACACTCATTGTAAAAGGAGAAAGGACTCTAAAATTGCTTGACCAAGAATGTAAGTTGGAGGTCAGATTGAATCATATTAAAGCTGTTTACTTGCCCTTATATCCACTGTTTCATCATCAACTCCTGAAATGCCAAGAGAGGAAGCAGTTGGGAGAGTAAAACTGGCAGAGCTGGAACTGGAGATATTAATGGATGTACCATCCATATTTTCTGTTTGTAATCTATCCAGTCCAGTTGGACACAAATGAAACAGAAAAAAAAGAGAAAGAAAATAAAAACACAGAAAACAAACGAGCATACAGACAGTCAATAGTATGAACTTCAAACACAGAGAAAAAGTTCTCTTAAAAAGTTCTCTTTGTGAGTATAGCTTATCTGGAAAATTATTTCTGACTCTGCCAGCAACTATATTAGTACATTGTCTCTGATGTAGTAGTTCACATAACACTACCATACAGTCATCAGGAAAAGGGGTGGACTGGCATATCTGAATGTGAAGTTGTACCCAATTCGGTGTACTTATGCAAAAGGTGCACGTGGTCTTTGTATGAACATGTTCTTGATTTCTACACACAGTTAAATGTGAATGAAAATCAGACTCTTGGGGAACAATATGGGGATGACTGTTGGGAATGGAGAATGCTCATCAGGCTCCTTATGATTATATTTGCTCTTGTCAATCTAGTTACAGTTTCGTATATCATGTGTTATTGGCAGCTTGGCAACTTGGAAAATAAGAAAGAACTTACCTTTTAAAGGCAAGCAGCTACTAGTAAGTTCTTCTTTGGTCAAAGGAAGCACAACATGAGAATTTTTAAGATGATATAACTGAAGGTAATTGGGGTCCAAGCTGTTCTTACAATTAGTTAGCAACTTCATCATGCTGTTGAAGTTGTCATTATGCTGCAGTATTAATTTGAGTGGTTGGGTGGTTTCAAGGATAATGCAATGAATATTTGAGGAAAGTTTGGGTGCCTATCAGGAGCGCAGGGGGTGGTTGGGGAAGATAGACAGACAGACAGACAGACATTTGTTACTGTTACCTGTTTATATACATCGTGGCGGAATGAGTGGTAAGGACCATGGGTTCATCATCTGGTTCCTTCCCAAACAGAAGGGCACTCTGCAGATTTTCAACTGTATTCAGGAGCTGGTGGGACACCAAACTCTAGACAAGCATTAGAGGAGGGAACATCTAACAGAGCTGCTCAGAATCAGTAAGTTGCCCACTATTGGCCCTTAATTCCTTTTATTATGTAATATTGCTTTCACAGTGTCTTATAAAGCTGCCAAACTCCATGATGTTCTTGTTAATCTCAGAGAAAGTTATTCTTATCAGCAATTCAAGTTCTGTAATTCTCATGAAAACATAACATACTGCAAATAAATATATCTTACAGTAAATGGAAATCGAATATTTAGAACTTCTGTGCATGAAATTTGAAAGACTACAAACATGACATCAATTTCATGCAAGACATTTATGTATTTATGTATGTTAATTCCCTTTCACTGCACATTTCAGTGTTTATAAAGCAAGATCTAATTACCTACTGGTAGTGTTACTGTTGTGTTGTCCTGGGGGAGTCTGAACAGTGCGTAACATTTTCTCTCAGGTTAGATTTATGTCATACTCCTTTGCAGGACTGACAGCTAAAGTGTATTCAGTCCAGGAATTACACAAAGGGAAATGTGACAATTCACATATAAATAGGAAGGCCTAAGACAAAACAAGCACATTACTTAATTCTAAATAGAAAATCAGAGTGGGCTTTCTGAGAAAATGTAAGCAGAAACCTGAACAGATTTGAGCTCTGAAGTTATGAAACAAGTAATGAATACTGAATACCTGAGTCTTCCTTGAACTGAGGGGAAAAAGGAGGGAATAGAACCAAATCTGGAAAAAAAGATTTACTGCAATCCATCTACTTGTCATCCCTTAGAGGTCTTAATGCTGATCTTGCCTTCTACAGTGCACTGTTTTGTGCCCCACCTGATGTCAATTTAAAAATGCAAGGCAGCAAAGCTCTTTAGAGTCTTCTAAAGTAGATGTTCAGCCACAGTCTTCTACAAACTGGGCTGAATCAAAATTACCTGTTCTGCCTCAGGCACTGTAGTGTTCATGGCTCTGTTTTGTATGGAGGCTTGAAGGACATTGCTCACTGCATTAAATAGGTAGCTGGCTGCATCCGTTAGTTTCTGATCATCTCTGCTGTCCTCCGTGTTTACAGTGAGCAAGGAAGCACTGACATCTTTCAGTGTATTGCTGGCTTCCACCTGCATGTGAAATAAGTGGAAAAGTCTCTGTTTTATTACTACCAATGACACAAGCAACACATTGTGCCATTGAGTCTTTTACTGAGTATTGCAACATAAGCAATCCCATGGGAATTTGTGGCTAAAGCTGTTTTACTGTAATTACTTGTGCTGGGCTAACACCTTAAACACTAATAAAGATGGTATACTACTAGATGACATACTAATGTGTAATACAGACCTGAAAAGCACAGCCTGCTTCCACAGATTCAACCCATAAAAGCAAGATGAATAATATTTGAAGGAGGCTTATCATTCAAACACTGGGCCAGGGTACAGTTTAGATGTACAGTAATGTAGTAAATCAGGTTATACTTCAGAGTGGTGAGTCCAAAATATAACCACAGTCAAATGCATGTGCATTTCAATCTTCATTTCCATATAGCCTGTTGGTTTATCAGCAAGTAATACCTTTGGCCTTGTGCTGTGCTAAATGCCAAAGGAGAATGAATCTTACAGTTTTTATTTTGTGCCCAAACACAGCTAATGATTGCTTTGTGATTGTGAAAGCACTGGCCAGCATAATAGCTCAGGGTGAGAAAGCCAAGCAAATTCACTGCAAGCTCATACACGTCCATTCCCACAGTCTGCAAATGCATAGCAGCCTCTCTGTACTGTGAGTACTGAATCTGAGCTATATTCTTATCCTGCTGAAATTAACTGCTGAAGTGCTCCCAGGCCATTGTCTGGCTATAGCTGTATAACATACCAGAAATCAGGACAGCTCTTCTCATTGCCAGTTTATTTGTAAAATTTCCCCAGTTTGTTCTGCCCTTCCCTGTGCTTACTTTTTACTCCTTAAACACAAATACATTATCTGCTAATGTCATATTGTATTCAAGACTCCAGGAACACTTTTGCAAGGCCAATCTTAACATTTGTGCTTGGTTCCTCTGGTTGTGCTGCCATGTTCCTGCCACGCTGCTTGCTCACTGAAAGTTAAGGTTTCCATCTGAAAGATGTATCAGAGAATGTAACTGGCTGGCCAGTCATAGCCTGGATTGCAGTGGCTGCTGAGTCAATGTTTGTGGTTCCAGATTTGCTTACTCAAAACAGTAAAATGTATTCCCGTCTGGTCAAGACATACATGCTGGTACAGTTATAAAAAGAAATGAGCAAAGAACAGATAACTGTAAGGCACTGACATTCTTCCAAGGTTTGAAGGGTTCAAAGGAGTCTGTAACTGCTGGTGTATGGAGACAGGATGAATTGCTTCTTACCTGTGCTGAGACAGACAGCTCTTCAGTCCTGTAAGTGATTTCTTTCAGTACTTCTGACATCTTAAGAGCAGTTTGTACTGATGTTACATTAACAGCAGAGAGAGTTGTCAGCATTAGCCCTCGGAGCTTGGAATGGAAAGGGGTAATTAGGCGAAAGATTAAGATGCTAATTAAGACTGTGCAAATAGTGCTATATATTGACAGCCGGGCTTGCTGTGAAATATGTGGTAGAATAAAACTCCTCGAGCATCATGTGAACTGATGTTAGGTCTGCTGAGAAGCTGCCACTTCCTTAGTAGCTGTGTAACCACATGAGCTTTGTGTTTTCTTCCAACACAGAGAATTTTTACAGTTAACATACATCAGGAGCAAGCAGTTACTTCTCAGATGAGTGTGAATTACATGTAAATTCCACTTCCTGAGAAAGCAGAGCCATGTTCAAATAATAAATCATAACTGAAGGATATGCTGCATTTATCTTTTCACCTGACCATGCAAAGCACAGTCTAAATATAAGCTTATAACTGAAACATAAGCTTGTAGCTGAAAGGAATAAACTAAAATTACTTGCTATCTAGGACTCCAGGGGAAATTTTTAGAGGAAAGGCAATTTTATTAATATTTAATTTTTGTTCAAAATCAAATTACTGTAAGTTTAAAAAGACTATCCAAATTAGTTTAAGTGATTGCAATAAGAATTGTGAATGTGTTCCTTTACTGATGGATGATAAAACAAATTTTTTGCTTGGGCAAGTAGTGAATAACAGCCAAAACCCGTGCCAAACACTGAGATGGATACCAGAAACTTGAAACCTCCATTGATTTAAAGAGCTGATATATGAGCTTTTTGTTACTTACGAGCTGTCAAAGAGTACGAAGAGTCCATTATATTGCACTGTACTGCAAGAAAACAAGTGTCTGGCTCACCTCTTTTCGTGTGTCTGTCTGTAAAGATATGTTAAAGTTTTCCTCTTGGGTCTCATGATTAAGGACTGAAGTCACTGACTTAAACAGCTGGAAAAGACTCATACTGTTGTTCCCATCTTTTAGGATGGTGTTTGCCTTCTCAGATACAATGGTCTGCAGGGTCAGGTTCCCATCGATTGTATCTGCTTGTATAACCTGATGGGGAAATCACAGATATGCTCTTAACATTGCTAACAATTATAGTTGTCATTGAACAGTTTCTGCAACCGTATCATTGGCAGCTTAGTCCGAGTGGGACAGAAAACTACGTTACCAGGTTTTTTTGTGTGTTTTATTTTGTATTAAATGCTCCAGACAGCTCTGCTGTCCTCTTGGGTCCTTTGACTAAGTGCTGAAGTCATGGACTTGTACAAATGGAACAGATTCATGCTGTTGTTAAAACCCTATAGAATGTTGTTTGCTTTCTAAAATGCAATGGGACATCTTTAGAAATGTCCAAATGTAGGAAAACACCCCACTTCTCAATCTATGACAAATTTCTGTCTTTTTAAGATGTCTGATCTTGCCAACTTGGCTGACAAATTTGTGCAGAAGAGACAGAGCCTAATTCAACCCAGAGTTTTCTAAACCCCAGTGAATGGATTGCCAAGAAAAATTTGCAGTGAAAAGCAGCTTCACTGAGTGTGAAACATGGGGAAAGACATGGACTTCTATCAGCCTGATAGGAATCTGCTGGGCAGGCAGAAGCAGGAGTTTTCTGGGACCTATTAGAGAATAACTCCAGACTCTCTAAATACAGCTTTTGCTACCCAGTGTTCAAATAGGTCATCTTTTAAAATTCGGTCCTAGAAAAAGAGTAGTTGGAAGTGTCTCAACTACTTTGAGTCCACTGAGAATAGTCTCTGCTAGATGGGGAAATGGGGATTATTGTATGGTCACAGACATATAATAAATACAAAATGGGAAGAAGTTCCAAAAGAGATTCACAGGTTAACATCAACTTGGAACACCTTGAAATAAAGTATTTCTTCTGGGTACCTTCACCGAAGCATTGGTGTGAACTGTATCACCGAAACTGTTGCTAATAGTAATTGTCACATGTAAGATGAAATTATTTTCCTCTTCTCCAAGTGGAAGATAAACTGGGAAGAGTTCAGGGTCTGGGCCACAGTGCAGGAGAGAATCTGAAATAGGAAAGATGTTGTTACCTAACAGACATCACACAGACACCTCCTGCTATCTAAGAACAGGGCTCTGTGGGTTTGCATTGTGCAGACCTGACTGGCTTATATGTAGACAAAGAGCAGAAGCAGGCCGTGCCTTTGCTCTTACTGACAGCAGTAACAGTGCTTGCCAGAAATGTGAAGAAGCACTTAGTCAAACAGTTCACCTCAGGACTTACTTGAGTTCAGATAGAAGCAGTAGTTGAGCTGTGTGCTATGACTTGTTTGGCACGAATCCACAGAGCATGGAGTGCTGCAGGAGACTGTGAAAGTGGTGAGCACAGATCCCTGCTTGGGAGACACGGCACAGCTGGGGACCTGGGGCGGAGGCACGGTGCTGACAAGGTAGGTTTGTTCCCCGTAAGCACGCTGAGTCAGTGCTGGGAGTGGAGGGAGCAGAACATCAGCAGTAATCATGCTGTGGCAGCACTGATCTGCAGACATCTTACCTATCGTGGCAGTGTTGTTCAGGCAACACAAACCTAATAGTTGGCCTAATCAGAAGTGGAATCCCACTACTGAGTGAGCCATAAGAAGAGAAGAACTATTAAGAGCACAACAGTTTTTGCATTGTAAACTAAAATTCCATTATTTGATCAGGTATTCAACATAATGTTATTTTCAGATGAGCCTTAACAAAATTGTTAACACCTTGGAGCGAGAGAATGGAATTTGTCCTGCCATGCAACAGCCCAGAACAAACTTAATTATTTGAAGGAACCCATATGTAAAGTAACAGCTCTAAACTTGTAGAATTGCTTGTCAGCAAGAGTACATGTACGTAACATCTGTATGATGTCATGGTGGCAGGGACTATCTCAAAGCAGTCTAAAAAACCCTGCTTGTCCCTACCTGTTACTTTAATCTGAAAAGCTTCTCCATGTGTCTGCAAGAAGGAGCTGTTCATTATCAACGTGGATGTGTTGCTTTGAAGCAAACTCAAAGAGTTCTGACGGAAACCAGTCAGGCTGCAGGCTGGAGGGAGGGGTGTAGACTGGAAAGCCAGACAGAAAAGAAAACATGACAGCAGAGACTCTTTGCTGCGATTTCTGTTGCAGCTGGGCTGCAGAAGTGGGGTAGCAATTTGATGTTATTATAACTGCTCCCAGACACGACACCACCATGTCTTGGTCTTCCCTGCTATTTGCAAAGCTCCCCTGTGACAAAGCACCACTCGGAGGCTGTGTGGCTTTTCCTCGTAATAGATGCTTATTGGTAGTATTTCTGACAAATCTGTTGCTCTCACCTTGTTTTGGAATGTGTTATCTAAGTACCAGTTATAGTACATGTCCTGAGAGTCCTTCTGTCCAGACACACTCAAAACAACTTCCTCACTTGCATTCACTGGCTTGCAGTTTGCCTCACACCTGTAGGGAAGTAAGACAGTAGCTACAAGTAGTAACTGGACGAGAAGTCACAGTCATTTCATAGAAAGAATATTTTCATAGAATCACCAAGGTTGGAGAAGACCTAAAAGATCATCTAGTCCAACCACTGATGTCAGCCGTTTTAACCTTGTTTAATGAACATCTGCAAAATGCCCATGATATTTATACAAGTGAGCTGCGACTCACAAATAGTGAAATGCTTCATTTTACAGCAAGAGTTTTAGAAACCTTCATCTTTATTTTCAGCACTGACTGAAGTGCAGAATCCACACACTCTTCATGTTCATTCAAGCTCTCAAGTAAATCCTAGCTCTATTTAACCTCCTGAAAGGATTATATTAACAAATCATTGAAATGCCACTGATCTTCAGTGAGGCCCCAGATTCCCAAAGACCAGATTTTTTAAAGCATTATTGTGTCTCTGGGTGTCTAGTAGGAATTTCAGACCTATTTTTTACTTTTATTCCCATCATTTCAATTAAGTTTGCATATGGAAATCTCCAAAAAAAGGTAGATAAAAGGTAGAGGGGGTTAAAATGCCTAAGTGCTTTTGGGAAGAATATTATTCAATTTATAAAGGGATTATGCTCAGAAATGCAGACTGGAAAAATGCAGCTAGGCCCACTGTCTTTAACTCCTTTGATGGTAATAAATAAATTTACAACAATCAATAAATTATCATAATTGTAATTAATAATGATACACGTGGTCCTGCACTAGGTCTGTGTAGTGATATTAAGTAGTGAATGCTGAAGTTTGAAAACAGACCTGATTTCTAGCTGTAGATCTTGTTTTGCAGTCACATAGAGGCATTGTTCATCCTGCCTCTCTTCATTCCCGTGGCTTCGCACTGTGACCCTCACAGTCACTGCTGACTTCGGAGGAGGAAGGCAGGAGGGTGGGATTTGCACCTCTTGTTGGCTGGTGAGGATTATCTGGTGCTGCACACATTCATCCCATTCAGGCCAGCAAGCTCCTGCATGAACATTTCTTTTATAGCTTGAATAGTTATAACATCCCACGTCACTTATAAGGGTCTTCCCTCGTACAGGTTTCAAAGATCTTTATAGAACCACAGGTTTCCTTAAGTGTCATGGTTTATAGAGGAGGTAACCAAAGTTCAGACTGATTTCTTTGAAATAATACATGAGATCAAGGAAAAATGTGAGGACAGAACATTGATGCTCTAAATCCAGTTTTCAGCCATAAATATTATAGAACTATTGCTGTTCTATTGAGACATATACCTTTCAAATACCTAACTGTGTAAGTCACTTGGAATTAGCTCTTGGCTATGAGAGTAAAGGATTAGGGGGTAGGTCTTGACAAATTAAAACCTCAGATCTATCTTTGGGAAAAAAAAAAAAAAAAACAGAACTGTGTACCATGCAGTATTATATACCATGATTAGTTGGGTAGAGGGGCATTCTTCATACACAGTGAATGGCAAACTTTTAATGCCAGGCAGAAATTAAACCATCAGTCAGAGTATCACAACTTGGTCTGGCCTGACAGAACATTTGTCACTCATGAAATAAAAATTGGTGGAAAAACTTCAGGAAATTTACATACCACAGGACCAGAGAAAACTGGAATTATCATTGTTATCTGGCCAACCAAGAGTAATAGTTGTGAAAGGATCCACGTGGCGACTCGGTTTAATATGTATTTTGTTTTTTCTTTGGTGACCCTAAAAAATAAGTAAATATACCAGTTAGGACAGTGGCATGTATAAACACATATGCTATTTCATAAATAAATGTAAAAGGGCTGAAAATTTAGACACCGGATCACTCTATGTGCATCTGCAGTTTAAATGCTCTTTCCTTAACCAGTGGTAGCATGTGAGTATGAGCTATAGGAATAGCAACAGATGGCATAGAGGAACGACGTGTGGCCAAATATTCCCATACTCTTATGTAATGCATTTCAATTTTAAAAAAAGCTCTTTAAATAATACTTACTTTGGTCATTTGGGTATTTCTTTTAGAGCTGTCTTTTTCCTTAGTAGGATCTGTTACAAAAAACAATAACTGATTAGCAACTTAGTTTCAGTAGATGAAACTCTAACTAGATAGTCACATACTCTAAGTAAGATCATTGTTATTCTTCAGTCATAATGGTGCAAATCAAATTTACAGGAGGTGATGAAATTTAACTGATGTACAGAGAAGAAATGAGGGAAAGTACTGGAAAGGTTTCAATGGGATTAATTCTAAAGTCACTTTATTCCTGGTATATTCTGCTTTTGTAAATGTAAGGACTTGCCATCTAGAAGTGTTTACTGACAGCAATTTATGTGATTTGCTGTGATGCAGATATTTCCTAACTTCAGAACTATATCCCAGGACACACACTTCACTAATTAGACTTGAGGACAAACAGCAAATGTGCAATGTGTAATACATAGAGTGTGATGCTAATTAATGAGCACTTCAAAGCCTGGGAATCTGCTGTCATCAGGAAGAAGCCTTCTCAAAAGTTTCAGCACTGTTGCTGGAAAGGAAGAAATTACTAGACGCAAACCATAAAGACTCCGTGAAGTGCTCTGATTGCAAAAAGACGTGTGGTCAAAGCCAGCACTGTCAGATTAACGCAATTACCTTCTTTATGAGAACTGTTTGCCAGCACATTGATGAACCCAATGTCCAGACTCACATTTGAGAAAGCATTCATAGCCACCACTTTCACTAGGAAAATACCTAGAAAAGACAAATGTCCAAACTAGTATGTCAGTGGACCAGACTATCATGTTTGTGATATAAAGCTCATAAAGAAAATTCTATTATTTTCTCTCGGTAAATTTTGTTTGTTTGTTGATGAGTTTTCCACTTAGGAAAGCATCTGTCTTGTTTGAGATTTTCTACCTGAGGGGATGGGATGTTCAAATGGGTACAGGGAGGCCCAAGAAAGCTTCTGATGTTGAAAATCTTAAAACATAAAACGAAATCATAATTAGCTTCTAGTGTGCCAGCTTTTGCATGGGATTTGAATAATTCATTAAAGGAGACTTTTTTTTTTTTGTCTTCTGCCACTGAATTATCTCTTAAAGACAATCTCGCTAGTCCCATGTTTTAAAGGCTTTGATTGCTTAATAATGGGAAGAAAAAATGCTTAAAAGCTGATTCCTAACTCCAACAAAAACTACGTGCTGGAGACTGATGTGCAGGTGAGGATGGAGCTCCCCTTTTCTTTGTCATCTGTGCTGAGAACTCCTCAGATTTTCTATCACAATAGTGTGAAATGGAGTATAAACTTGGAAAGTTATGTTTATGAGCAAACAGGAGCATCTTAGAAACACAGAAGTCAGCATGCTGTACCTTCAGAGTGCATGGGAATGATGTATGTTTGAGGTTCCCCTTGAGGGCAGTCTTCCTGGTGAGCATGAGTTTCATTCAATCCGACCACTTCAAACCTCATCCTAGCTGGGGCACCATGAGCCACAGAGACATTTATCTCCAAATTCTCCCCCAGCTGCAGCGTGTGAGAAGCTAATGCAGCCTGAAGACCAGACACTGGCTCAATTAAGTGAACAGTGATGCTCTCCGAGATCTCTGGTGCAGTTGTGTTGCTGGACACTCGGATTTGCAGCTGATGTACCCCAGGGCCTAGCAGCTCTTGAGCAGCACTGTCAAGTGTCAGGTTGTGAGGGGCAATTCCTTCCTCTGCACTGGACTCAATAAGTGTCATGTTATTTGCTAATACAATGTACGTCACTCCACTACCTGTAAAAAGACAGTTCAGAATTTCTCACAGCTTGCATAATAGGCAATCCCATTCTGTTTCATACAGCATTTAAGTATTTCTAGAGTCATAAAAATACTGCAGCAATGCAGTTATTTTGAATAAAGTCACTCCCAAGTGTTTTTGTGCCCATTTAGGCTTGCTATGGAAGTCTGTCACATTTTCTGCTGTGAGCAGTAAGGCAGTCAAGAGAATTCAAATGCTATTGAATTTAACTTTTTAAACACGCAGATTCCAGGAGCCCGAAGTGAGAACAAAATATACAATAGCAAACATGACCTGCTTAGTGTGAAATCCTCTTACCCTCAGCTGGAGAGGCATTTCTGTGGATTCCTAACTTCAAATGCAGAAATATTACTACTGGCTCCATGTAGATTCATGTGACTGAAGTCGAGGTCATGCTTTGTCAGATTTGTGGAGAGGGAAAAAGGGTTTACGTTTATGTTCAAAGTAGTGTAATCCCTCTGGGAAAGAATCCCTCCAATAGAGCTTGGAGTGTTCAGTTGCAGAAAGGCAACAATTAGAGGGGGAAAAAAAGAGGTGTTTTCTGTAATGAAAATCCTACTTCCATTCCATGGTTAGGATAGTATCTAGATAGCTATTTAAACCACACAGACTAATTACCCTTACCTCCATTGAGTTCAACCTGAATCCACAACAGCTCTCCATACAGCGTTCGGCAGTGAGAGCCGTTCCCAGACTCACGGTGGCTGTAGCACCCAGTAATGCTTAGTTCATCCATCTTGTCCTGAACCATCACCCGCTTCTGTGCTGTCACGTGCCATTCGCTGGTGCTGCATTCCACAAAAACAACAAACTCCCCAGGAGATGCATATCTATGTGTGACACTGCTGAGCAGTCTACGACAGAAAGAGAATGGCCACTTGTGGAAAACTGTCCTGGCAAGTCTCCTTATGTGACAACACTAGTCACAGCTGTCAAATTTCTGACCTGACTCATGTCTCCTGCTGTCAGGAGGTGGACAAGGCTCTTCACACTAAAACAATGCCCTTAATTTTTCTGTTCTGATGATGTATAAGGGATATATCTTACGTTAGAGGGTAGTAAGGATCAACAGTGTGGCCATCTCCAGTGCTAATGATGCAGGAAAGGTTGCCAGAGTATGGAGAGAGCAGCCAGTTCAAAGTGATTGTGATGTTTTCAAAGATAAAACATGTGTCTGTTACAATCAGCTGCAGACCTGTAAAACACGACAGAATTCAGTGCCATTTTGTCTACATTTCTTGCTTGAGTCAATTGATATTCATGCATTGGTGAGAACAGGCCTTCTTCAAATCAGACTTGACACTGCTGTCAATTTGAATGCATTAGTGGAGTGATCAGGAGCTGATTCTTCTCCATATCAGTTGGTCAATATTCATGTTGGGATATAATTTTATTTGTGTATTATATGTGTATGGATTTCCTGGCTTTTTATCCTATCAAAAACCCTCTGGAGCTGTCAGTAAGGACAGAGAAATTACCTTGTTATGTCTTCAGTATTTTGTGTAATCATCACTGTTCCAGGTTCTTCCTTGAGGACAGAGCAGGGATTTTTGAGAAAAATATTACACTCATAGTGTTACAGCCTAGTGAAGAACAAGCTATTGGTACTGACAGCCCTTGTGCTTACCCTCCTTGCAGTGGTACTGAATGGACAAATAGCTTCCAGAAGCTGGACATGGATCTCCAAAGAAAGTGCCATCCGCTGCCACTTGGCAGGCCTGAAGACCATGACACTGTCCTGGAAAGAAGTTTATATGGATTAGTGGTTTTGTCTGTAGCTGTCATAATTCAGGTGAGAGGCAATCACAGAAACAAGGGTAGAAATGCGTTAGTATCTTGTTCCTGAGTTCTAGACAAAATCCCACAGCAAACCTCCATGCCATAAGACACTACCTGCCACTTCTTCCTTGACACTGATCCAGCTACATTCTTCCTCCGTGTCGTTCTGGGGAGGAGTCTCCAATATGCAGTAGTGAGGGGTCTTCCGTCCATAGAATGACTCTCCGATTTGAATAACTTCTCCTGATCCACACTGTACGGTGGCATTGTAATTATCACAAGCAATGCTCTGGCCATTTTCTAATAGGGAAGAAAAACTCTGATTTAACTTTTTGAATTTCCAAAAAAAAAAAAAAAATCTTCTAGAGTTCTCCTGCATTTTCTTTTTTTTCCCCGTTTGTTTCTCTTTCTCTCCTTCTCTCCCTCTTAAATTAAGCAATACTGAAAATGGAAAAAAGAAGAAAGCATCAAACACTTTTCCATTTTACCACCTTAAACAAAAATTTGATAACGTATTTAATAAAAGAAAATATTGCCATTGAAAAGAATAAATATACATTTGTGAAAAACATATAGCATTTGTTTGACCTACAGTACTGGCAGGTTTCTGATCACATCTTACTTCAGAAAGCCTTGTAGCAGTATGTGATTTGCATGATATTCAGGTAATTGCATCAGAGAAGAGTTTGCATATAAAGTACAGGACCTGATCCCATTTCTGTTACAAAGACATCTTTATTCCTTTGTGATATTCAATAGGCTCCATTCAGCAGGACTGCTCAAATGAGTAAGGTCATATTTCTAAAAGCAAACACCTCATTCTTGGGTTATTCTGAGGCAGTTAATTACCCTTTAGATTTCTTGGGATCCTTTAGTAATCAGGATATGTAGTACCTGAAGAGGAGGATGAAAAGCTCTTACATGAAAGTGTTGCAAAAGAATGTTTTTATTTCAGCTGTCTCAGGATTAAAGACATTGTCCTCCAATTGCTGTTTTGATCATTCCCCTTAAGCACCTTGATTAACAGAGCCAGTATTTGCACACTGCAGTAATTGTATGCTACTGTTATTTAAAGCTAAATCTAAGCCTGGCTGTAGCTATAGCAACATGATCAGTTTACAGATTAGAGCTCTCTAAATAAGCTTGGAAAATAATTTGCTGTTAAATTATAATACAGGCTATTATCTCTTCCATTTATTTGTTTTTTACTTGGCATAGAGGGCTCTCATAGTATATGCTGTCTTAGTAAAATTACATATGAAAATGCATAGAACCAGATGTGTGTTCCTTTGTACTGGTTCAAAATGTATACTTTTACTACAACAGACTCCTAATTCACAGAGCACCAATTGGTAGGATAAAATAATAAGAGCAGTGAATTGAACTAAGGAAAACTTCTGCTTGAGGTGAGAAGCACAAATCATTCAAGGACAGAGTCAAAGAAAGGATGAAGGCGGAATGCTGTCTCTGGTTAGATGCTTTTAGAAACATATCTCAGGTCATCAAATGTGCACAGTTATGAGGAATCAGAGAGATTCAGTGCAAATAATGATATCACTATAGGAGCTACCTATAGATTTCATATGAAGTTTCATACTTGGTGTGAATTAAGTCTCACAGTACCTGGGTGTGACTTAAATATCACTATGCCCATTTTACAGAGACAAACTGAAGCAGTGAGGCAGCACAAACTTCTAAACGTTCAGCACCCAGAGGAATTAATGAGTAGAATGTTGTCCCTGATTCTTTAGGGTTGTTCAAATTCCTTGCATGAAGTAAAAGAGGAGTCTACACTATTATTGAAACATGTATGTGCATTAATGGACATAGGCTGTAAATACTGAAAACAAGGCTGTAATTACCTCAATCTGTTCTCAGTTTCCTTGGTAATGAAAAGATGGACGTAGGGCAGGGCATTGTTGCTCAATAAAGCAAACTCTCATTGAATTTAATGGGCTTTAAGTCAGATCCTATGGTAACAGATGGTAGCTTCCTTAAAAACAGATAGTTGTCTACTGTGGTTGTAATGGAAAAAAATAATTGTAATCTGTTTTTGCAAGGAAAATCAGCTGAAGGAATTGTACTGTCTGCCAATTTCCACTCCTCCAGTCATTTTTAATGTTAGTCATCTTCAGCCAAATTTGATGTATAGATATAAACCTCAAAACACCCTAAAATTCATGAAAATCAAGAGCTGGGTGAAAGAGAAAGAACTGCATCAGTGCCTCTATTATGAGTAGAAATTATACTCCAATTTATGATGAGGGCCAGCAGGTACAACTGATGCTTTGAAGCTGCTGCAGAGCCACGGGGACAGAGGGAGAAGTATTTGGAGAGACAGAAAGTGCTGGGGATATAGGAGTGAGCAGGGGGTCTGGGGAGAAGGATGGAGAGGGGATATGGAACAGAAGATCAAGACAGGAAACAAAACATTATTCATTTTGCTGTTTATGGAATGACTTGTTAATTATGTCACACCACTGCAATAGCCCTGCTATGGCTTGTGGTAACCTGTACATGTATATTGGATTTGAAGACTGTATTAGTGAGTCTACAGCCAGATTTGCCATCGAGTGCTTTTGACCTTAGATCTAGTTACAGTTTAAAGTACTTGGTTTATGTGCAGAATGCAAGGAACACAAACGGGATAATACTGCCAGCATTCCTTTCCAGGACTGTTTGTTCCAAGCAGTTTAAGGGACGAAAGACCGTACTTTTTCTGTCTGAGCACAAGGAAGAACAGGCTCCTGTTTGTATCCTTGGCCCAGGGAAGCCCTTGAACTTCAACTGATGGAAGGATCTGAGAAGAAACAAGAAAAACTTGCTCTCACATTTGCTTACTTCAGACTGCTAGAACAAGTATCACTGGAAGCCTGGCAGTATTTTTGCTTCCGTGATGAATGGAAATTATTTGGATGGGCTTGCTTTGGCCCATATTTGTGATTAAGAATTTAAGAGCAATCATATAGGTAGGTGAGTTCATATTTGTAACCATTCTGAAACCTGGTGATTTTAGGATTCTTCTTTCCTTCAGTTCAGATCACAAACAAAGTGGAAAAAGAGCAGCTATTGGGCTTGTATGGTTTTTTGCTTGTTCACTTTTAATAAACTTCAGATTATTGCTCAGCCACTTTGAAAGAAGCAAGACAATTTATGCACAATTGTGAATAGAGTAAGCTCACTTCTTAGTTCCATCTTACCAAACTCACAGATGAAGTCAAATTCCTGGCTGCAGTTTTCAGTCACACCCCACTGATACTTGGCATTCTTCAGGATGTATCCACACACAGATGAGAAAGGAGATGGCTGATCCTTGTACCAGTTACTGTAGCTTACATTTGAGGTGTCCAGCCAAATAATTGACCCTGTCAACAAAATATACATTTCCTGAGTGTTTATTTCCCATAGGAAAACAACTAAAGAGTCAGAGTCTGCAGAACAAATCTGCATCCTTGCTCCTATTGAAGGAAAGGCAGTTTCGTCTGAATAGAGATCTTCAATTTAGTTTTACATGAAATCTGACATAACCACTAAAAAAGACACTGCTGCGTCCTCCCAGACTCTCAGCCTCAAGATTCCACAATTTCCCTTACATCAGATCTTGCAGCATTTCCCAGCATGATGCTTAGCTTGCTTGTCTACTGGAAAACCAACCCAGCACATATTTTTCACTGGGTCAGCAAGCTAATCTAATGTGTGTTTACACAAGAGCAAGATCAAATGCAAATGGTGACAGCATACAACTGAGAAGTGAAGCGGACAATTAAAATATCTTAATATAAATCTAAAGTTACAGCAACAAAAGACAGTGGCTTTTCAGCAGACATCTATGGTGGGATAGATTGCATTTGTTGCCATGGTAGGAAAGCATCCCAGTCTGATAGTTCTAAAGAAGACAAGATTTTAAAATCACCTACCGTCAGTAGTTTCATTCAGCAAGGAGTCTGAAATCAGTCCTATCCACCATTCCTGATCCTCAGCAATATGTTTCTGCAAGAATTCTTGAGTCTCCTCATTTTCAATAAAGACAAGGTGCCCCCCTCCTCTCTCACACCACCTCTCGGCACTTGTGAATGTACGCTGCAGTCTAACAAACTCATAGCATGAGTGGTTGAAAGCTAGCTGATGCTTTGAGCAAGGGGTTCCTTCCTCGTCAGTTGCCTCCTCCATAGCCAAACATACAGCAAGAGAAATTAGAACTGTGATCCCAAGCCACATTCTCAGCTTAGTGCCCAGTGTGGCACTGGTAGTGCTTATCACATCAACACTCTTTTTGCTGCCTTCTTCAAAAGCTTGAGTTGTCACGTCATCAGTATTCCTCCTTCCTCTATTCTGCTTGCAACAACAGCTGCAATAGTACATGGAACAAATGGCATCTATGATGGTGATTGTGTCTGTGGACACACAGCAAATGTGTACTAAATCACTGCAGTGGCCATTGTGAGGCCTGTTGTATAAACGTCATTCCATGTCAAGTCAGTTTGAAGAGAAGATATGATAGTATTGCTTTCCTCTTGAGCAGAGAAGATAAAGTTGATGTATAGTGTTACTGGACACATGCAAAAGTGAGATAAAGCTTCTCCATCAAAGATATCATTGTATGAGCATTAAAGCCAGAGGTCTTTACAATGACAACAAAGAGACACGACAGTAAAAATAAGGAAAATGAGAAACACAAGAAGTCATTAGATGGGAAAACACACTGTGTTCCTCTAGATACATTTAATTGTTTTGAATTGCTTTGTTTTTAATAATTATTATTCTTTTAGTGTGATTATTTGAGGTACTTCTTTTGGAGACTAATGTGATGCCTATAATTATTGTATCATATTCATCCTGCCCACCTGTTTACATACACCAGGGTTAGTCTCAGCTGTTCCAAGTAGACCTAATTGTTGTGCTTGTTTAGAGTTCCACACCCATATGAAATGCTACCATCAGCCCTTAAAAGCTAAGCTGCTTAACTATACAGAGCTACCTCTTACCTGCTAGTAAATAGAAGAGAAAGCTGGAAGTTGATACAGTGATCTGGGAAAATGTAAATACTGCCTTTATCATCAAAGCTAGTTGGGAGCCTGATGTGGACATTGCACTGACTGCTGATGGACTTTGTGAAGCCAGCTCAGCAACATTTAGGAGCTGAAATCCCTTAGTACTTCTGAACTTCCTTTCAAAAGATACCCATTGGATTTATAAGGCCACTGGATTAGCAGAAACACAGCACACATAAGGCTCTTTAGCTATTGTGATCCTCCTATCCTTGGTAGCAGCTCCACTGAATTTGATGCTCCTAATATTAATTGATACCACGATAGCCTGACACTGAAAGAACACATGCTTATATTTGGTCTTAGGAGCTACATAACAGAGGTGCAGGAAGCAGTGATCCCTGTTTGAATTCCCATATTGCAGAAATGCCATTTGCATTACACTGTCACCCTGAAAGCAATGCACCGATCACACAGTGTGCCAGTCCAGCTCTATTTCTTACAGTTTCTTGCAGAGTAACGTATGTGCACTGTATCCAAGAAATGTTTAAGAATGATCTTCAGTCTCAAGACCTTTCTCGACTTCTACTCCAGTCACCTTTCTCAGCTGGATAAAGCAGGATTATGGTCAGGGTTTTCAAGAGAAAGTTTACAGGAAAGCGTTTAATGGGTGGGACAGTAGGAGAGGAAAGGGAAAGAAAATGTCATGGGGTGGAAGGATAATCACTGAGCTGGATGCCCCCTCTCCCACTGCAATTGAAAACTGAGACTTGCCTCAGCTATGGAACCCTTGCTCCAGATCCCACATTAATCTCTGATTGATAAAGAGGGCTGTTGAGGCAGATGAGTCTGGGATTCCCACCTCTGAGGATGGCCACTCCGTTCTCTGATTGTCCAATGTATCTGGCCCAGTCACTGTCCACACATCCATCCCTTTTCCTGGGAGAGAAGAGAAATATGCCACTGCACATTTTCATGACATTCCCTTTTGGAGTCCTTGCTTTTCCTTGGGCCCTGCTGACTTGCCTGGCTTTGGAGAAGCTGACAGATAGCCCTTCTGTTTTGGCTTCATAGGTGAGAAACATAAGGATGAAGAAGGAGACTGTACTTAAATGTGTCTGACTCAGTGATACAGACTGCATTGCCAGTAAGTGCCACTGACTCACATGTGTGATGGATTAATTCTGTAGCATCATCCAATTCTCACTCTGCAACCAAAAACTTGAATACATGAACATACTGCTAAATATGCCAGAGGTGCCACAGGCTGTCCCCTGTGGATCTGCTCCAAAGTAATTGAAGTTAATAGAAATCTTGTCTCTGACTGATGGATTTTGAAACAGGCCTCAGAAAGGACGAGTAATGCTTGGAAATATCTACAAATAAAGCCAAGCTCTTCAAGTGAACACACTGTTAGCAATTTCTACAGCAGGATGATGTTTTTCTCCAAACCTACAGTTGCTGTAAATGACTCCTCAACTGCCTGCAGCAGATGGGGAATGGAAGAAAGATCGTTTTCTCTCTTTTGCAGTTTCTTGGTTTCATGCATTTTAGTGTCATTAAATCAATCTGGCCATTTATTTTGCTTACCAAGAGGAAGAGAAAAGCTTTTAAAAAGAAGAAAAAATCTGTTTTAAAAGCATCAAAATTAGCAACTAGGGTCCTCAGGAAAAAAAATCCTGAAAGCCTTTTTCACTCCTAAGGAAGAAATGACTTAATTTCAAATAAACATTGCTTCTGGATTTTTTCATATTGTAGGAAACATGCTGTTTGCATTCTTCTTCAACAGAAGGACATTTTTTAAAGCAGTTTCAGAAGTCCCCGTGGAAGTTTCCCATCTTGCTGAGATTTGTTCATCTCTGTTCAGTTGTAGCTTCCACCTGAAAGGCTGTGTACCTTTACAGCACATATTACATACCAGCAGCTCCAACTCAAACACTGTCCAGCAAACATAAGGCTTACAAAACAGTTGTGTTTTGCAAGCTTTGACTAGAAATTAATGACAAAGCTTTCTCAATATTTTCACACCCTCACTCCAAGCTGTGATAAAGCTGTACATAACTCCTTTGTTTGTGAGCTCTGTTGCATATGTTGGAATAAGTCTTTCATTTTTCCACAGAAATGTTACAGGGAGCCCTGGGATTTTCTGAGGACAATGAGTTCCATAGTATCACTGTGCTATCGGTGCACAGACAAGGAGAGGCATGGTGTCCATACTGACTTCGTGGTGGTCCTGATTTGTACCCCAGTGCAGCCTCACATCATCCTGTGCTTCAAAAGACCATGGCAGCCCAGCAATACAGCCTGACAATCCTCCCCCACAGGCCAGAAAGAATTAGATTTGAAGAGTTAAGGAAGTGAAGAGCTGCCAATAAGAAAGGATAAATCACACCCTTCTTCGTTTTGGCCATTGTTCATTTGCCTTAAGGAAGAGCAAGTAAGTTTAGTCTCTATAGGAAATCTCATCTTTACGTTCCTGAATATTACTGGGTGTAATGTATAGATTTTATCTGAAATAGAAATGTATCTCTGTTCTGTGAGCATCATATTAATGGAAAACCATTTTACACTATCCTGCCATTTAGGTAGAAAAAAAAGATGATTTTCAGGTATCACTTACTTGAGTTTAGACTGTGTGTCACATGCACTTCCACTGTGTGCCAAACTGCTTCATGAAAAGGTCTGTTTCATTATTACCCGAGGAGGAAGTAATGAGTATGGAGCAGGCTGCCTGGAAAGGTATGGAGAAAAGTACTTATGTACACATAGATCTTCCGTATCCACAGAGTGCTTTAGAAGAGTCCATCTATCAACTGCTTTTAGAAGGTGGGTCACAATCAGGCCTCCTTCCTTGCTGATCTCTGGGCTGGGTGTCCTGATAGCAAGACCCACTTGTTTGCTGAATCAAAGGAATTTGGTTTTGTTGTGGTTCTAATGTCTAATTTTCCATGTGGTAACAGTGAACTTCTCAGTGATTCCTGCCAATTGTGATCTTATCTTGTTAAGAAAAACAGAAAATAATTCTTATCTTTATAGGGTGCAATAATTAATTTAGATATGCATACCTGGAATGATAGGGTCAAAGTGCAGATAAGCTAGACTACATTCAGGAGCTGCTGAGTTGGACATAATTTGTGTTTATAGGATGTGTATGGTTACCTTCTGGCATAGTTGTTGTCTGGATAAGTTCCTGGAGGTCTTCTGAGAAGTGTCCTTATAGAAGCATATACTGCTACCTTAGGGCTAGTAGCTCGACTTTCCTAACTTGCCATACAGTTGATGCATGTATACCTCCCCCTCTCACAGATAGCTCCTATGTTTTATTGCTGCCCACAGCAGAGTCTTGACTATTGGGAAGAAGAGTAAATGTGTGCCATGTAAGAACATTAATCAGGCAAGGGCTATTGATAGCTGAGGTTAGACTTGAATTCACATATAAAGTAGCAGAGCTATCTGAAACATCTGCTGACATCTCACGTGTTCTTACCATCATAAGCGGCACAATTTAGATGTGTATGTTAATGCAAGAAGTAGTGATTAAAGGCACCCTATCTGGGTAAAGCATTAACACTGGTAGATACAAATAGGCTGAACTTTTCCTAGCACATATACCTAGCAGGCAAAAAAATTGCTTAGATATGAATTACAGCCATTGTAATTTCACTGATATCTCTGCAATCTCTTCAGATTTCTGTGAGCACAAGAGATTTCTAAGGCAGTCCTACGTCCATCTTCTGTTTGTTTTGCTCCATATTGACACGAAATATTTCCAAGCTTATTGGACAAGAACATGGAAAAAAAGCTGCGTTACACGTTTTCATTTCTCATCAGCAGATTTCAAAGAACCTTACCAAAGAGATCAGCCCCACAGTCCCCGTGTTGAGAAGAGGTCCCAGAGGCTGTTTGGGACAGTGCTTTTGTGTTAAGCAGCCTGCACTCAAATGCCACCTGACTGAAACCAGAAAGCAGTTCTTTTTTGCTTTTGATCTGATGTTGTCCCAAAGATGTGCAGTAGGCTAAAAGGTAGGACAGTGTGCAGCAACATTAACATTTCTCACTTTAGATGCCTATAACACTATTTTTACAGCTTCAGTCAAGGATGAAAATGCTATCCTCCACACTGGCAGTTGGCCCACTGGAGAACATGTTGCTGAACATGTAAAAAGCTTTTTACATGCCAAACATTTAAAAAGCATAAAAGAACTGTTTTCTTGTTTTAGTCAGGGGACATGTGAGTGTAGGTTGCTTAACTGTATCATTACATAACAAAACATGTAGGTAGTCTTGGGATGTTGATAAGTGCAGGTAGGGTCATGAAAGTCTCACGATGAGGAAGTTTATGTGGGTATTGTGATGTTTTATTTGAATGTCTCACATTTAAATGCTTGGGCATTTGAATATTTGGACATTATAATATGTGGGTCAGCTCAGTCTGGTTAGGTATGAGTGTGGTTGGGGCAGCAGTTCTGTGCTTCAGTGCTTGGAGTTTTAATGCTCAGTTACAGAATGTTCTTATCTGAGTGATTAAATCAGTGTCTCTGGTAATATTTGTACACACTATTGTAAAAGAAAAAATGTTTCATTTATTACAAAATGTATTGAAGTCTCACAAAAAAACTCACCAAAACCAGTAAAATAATTAGTTTGATCCAAACAAAGCCCAATCAGAACAATATATGGAAACTACTGTTGTTTGAATTGACACAAACTGTATTAATTACAATCGGACTTGGACAATGCAAGAGGATTATTCCTCACTGGTGCTGGCCATATGTCTTTTGAAATGAGATGATGTCAACAAGAGAATATTTAACAGAGATGAATATTGGAGCTTACATCTCCTGGTACAGTGAGATAGCAGTCAGTATGATTTCAGCAAGAGCAGCTCTAAGTTCCTGTCAGCTTTACTGCTGGAGCCTTTATTTGGTAATAATAGATAACAGTTATTAGTTGGAAGTTCTTAGCACAGCCTAAAGATGTAGGCAAGTAATTTGGTCTTTGTTAATGGGCTTTAACTATAATCTGAATTTTATAATGGAAAGGTTGTGATTAAAGTAAATTGAATAAGTACTTCTATTTCAATATCGAGATAAGAAATAGGATCGGTCTCTCCCTGATTCAAAAGGCACTGATTTGCTTCTTGTGTAAGTAAACCAAAAGTACAAAGGTAGACACGTGGCAATTACATTATTGTTATAAAAGAAGCTTAATTAACTAGCAATTTGAGCTGTACAAATCTTTAACTATTTATACAGCCAGAAAGTAAGCACTGCCCTCTTCTCACTTCTTTCCTTCAATGCAGACTATTCCATTAAGAGGCTTCAGTAACATGCCGAAAATCTCACACTACAGAAAACCATCTGTTCTTCACGCAGACAGCACAGTCTGCCCAAAGTTATGATGGTCTGGAAAATACTGTGTGTGTGAGTTATTATGTGTCTGCTAAGCCCAAAATCAGAGATAGTCAGGCAGTCTCTCCAAAATCCAGGAGGGCTTGTAGTTCTATAGGCCCGCTAAAGGCAGCAGCTCCCTTTCTAACCTCTTTCTGTTGTTCTGTATAGGAGTTTTAAGCCAAAACCAAAAAGCAGACATGGAAATATTAATAGGAAACAGTCTCAGATTCATCATAAGGATATGCAACTTTGTGCTGACGAAGAACTTCAGCTCTTAGGGAAGTTGAACTGAACTTCTTTCTCATTCAAAATAGATGAGAAGAATAAGGAAAAGTAGAAAAGTTTTCTATGCTCTCTAGAATGTGGACTTCTATAACCTCCTCCATGCTCTCCCATCAAACACATCTTTGCAAAGGGAGAAGGAACACTGTGAAACAGTGAAATTAGAGAAGTTGCCTAATCCACATCTACTTCCTCCAACAGTTACACTGTATATTATAACTGTAAATAAATACTTGGATATTAATCCATTTCAGTGTAAAAAGAGGAAAATTGCACAGATAGCAGTTCTGATTTTTTTTTATCACTTGTTTCCATCAGTGCTTTCCAAATGGAGACAAAGGCATGCTGTCCTGGTGATTTCTCAAGGTAAAGACAAATCGGCAGACACAGGGTGAGGATGAGAAGAGTGATGTATGTGTATAACAGGAATCTGAGCAGTCACCTGTAGCAGAAACAGTGTTATCAATTCAGTGAGTGTGGATATTTATAAATGATCAATTAGACTTCGGAATGGATGTTAAAACATTTTGGGAACAACAGTGATTTAGGAGAAAAAAAATCGGATTTTAGGGTA